AACTTATTACACATTGAAATGGAATCAAACGGACGTATATCGGAATCTTCAGAGCCATTGAAACTAACAACAATAAACGATGACTGCAAGGAATTGATTTTCGATCACTTGGAGTGGCCAGAAATGCTAAGTATAGCCGACACAAGCAAGCAACTTTACACAGCAGTTTGCAGAGTCTTCAAACGGAAATATAGCAATGGAAAAATAGACTTTGGATTTCCGAAAATGGGCGACGAGTAATTAGTTTTTGATATTTGAATTGCCAATTCTTTGTGTTGATTTTAACATTTTGGTTTTAAATTGTAGATTTTCTAGAACAAGTAAATTTGTCATCCCAGATGTTTTGGTCTTGGATGAAGTGACGGCGCTAAAAATGTTGCGAAATTTTGGGCATTTAATCGTGAATGGGTCTTTCGAATTGCTCGGCCATCATAATCCCCGTAATAAAATGCATGATTGCTATTTAATTGAGTATGCCTCTCAATCGCTTGTTCAAATGACATTGACAGAATCTCGCGATTTCATTTTCCATCATCCATTGAAAAAACCTTTTACGAATGTGAAATCTCTTCATTTGGATTGGTGTTTATTTGACGGTGAACTGCCGTTCAATGAAATTTTTCCAAATCTACAGACGTTAAAGTTGATCAACAATAGATATTTTTTTCCATGTACATTTCCAATTAAAATGCACTTTTCTGCACTTACAAACTTAGCCTTTCACGATACCTTTTGGTTCAGTCAAAATGATATTCTCGATTTATTGCAATCCGCAGCTAGAAAGTTTGGAGTTGAGTTTACACCGCGAGACAATTTACTGTTTAGAATTTATTGAACGTTTCATGTTATACTGCCCCAATCTAAAACACATGGGATTGGGTTGTAAAAGAGTTGAGAGTGAAGATAACAAAACAATCTCTTTACGCAAAAATTTCGTGCCGCAGAATTTTGATTACATTGAAAGTCTTACTCTAAATAATATTGATGATATGAGTGTTCCGTACTCATTTGGTAATTTGCAATATCTTACAATACGAAGTATAACTGGAAGCAGAACAGATATTTCTAATTTTATTCAAAAAAATCCACGTTTGATATCACTTAAACTTGAAGTGGGTAACATTATCGAGCTATCTCATTCCTTTAGAATTGAAAATTTATTGTTCAATATCGAGGAACTTAACGTTCGGATATATAACGAAGATATACCCGCTGACAGTCTAATGTATTTCTTAACGCAAAATCGATCGTTGAAACGATTTTCATTGATTGGACGATGGGAGAATTTCCGTCATTTTTTCAATGCAATAATATCAAGAGACACCGAATTTAAATTACGTAATAAAGCCATCGAGTTTATAGTGACAAGAACAACAGACCATTCGTCGATGAAATATGTTCTGAGATTAATAACAAAAGGTAGCAACCATAAGACCTATGAAGAAATACAAGCTGAGGATGAACAAATACGGAACTTCGGTCATTTTGATTATGACTTCGAAAATCGTTTGTTGGAATGCTGTAGCTATAGTGAATCTCCACATTTGATGTCGCAGAAATATGATGAATATTTATATACTTTGAGAAATAAATTGGTGCAGTACGGATGTGACAACTTTCATATTGGGGATTCAATGTCACGTTTATATTATTAACAGCATAATTATTCTTGAATACCGAAGAGAATAACACGAAATGCACTTCTACCGACTATCAATTTAATAAATAAACCATTCCTCTATTTGAATTAATTTATTTTGGAAAATGTTTGTAATTGATCTTTATCTGTAAAATATCTGAATCAAGCGAAATAAATTCAATACCGAAAACTATGATTATTATTTCAACTCATGCTGTAATGTATTGGTGTTTAAAGACTAAAATCAATTGTATATGCGTTGCAAAGAAACATCTGTTGAATTTTAGTTTGAGTGCCTTAAACCCCGACGAAAAATGTCTCAATCAGATAAAAAATCTGTATGTAGAAAATGAATTTGAAAAATCGTACTGGTCTCTCTTACCATTTCATCCAAATGTTCAGAGTGACATACGTGCATAGAGCAACGGACATTTTGAATGCAATTATCCAGAAGACTCTAGGTGAAATTGAACGTGTGGACTGGTAAAAAAATCGATTATTTACAATTTTCCACAATGGAACACAACAGTTCGAAATATTATTGTAATTTTTTTTCTGTCGCCAAAATACAATTCTCATTTTCAACTTGAGACTTTTTCATTTTATGAAAGAATATGGCGTCCTCGTTCAACCAAATATGGAATCCCATGCACAGATGTTGTTGAGCAAAACTCTTTCACCGTTTTCAAAATCACCTTTTATTTGGAAATTCAAATTATGCAAATAATCAAAAGAAAAATCTACTTGGAAAAACTGTATTTAAATTACTTGACTCTTAACATCTTTCTCTTCACCGAATTGAACATCACCAAGGATTTCATTCATATCGATTGAAACAGCTTCTACCTCTTTTATTTTATTCCAGGCGTCTTTTTTTGTTCGACGTGCACCATTCCTTTATTTTTAGTTTGATGGAATTTCCCACTGAAATTAAACTCATCAACTGGCTAAAAAGCTTTCACCTCCTTTGAAAAGCAAGCGATGAACTATCAACTCATGTGGAAACATACAGCCAAAATGGTCAACAAATATTCAAATAAGTTAACACATTACAATAGATTATAATAATTTCTTATCAAGTTAAATTGCTTCTTCATAATTGTTCTACTTCAAATTATTATTCACATCGTTTGAATGATTAAATCATAAGGTAAATCTAATTTAAAATAAATTGACGCTTTTCAATGAATTGAATAGAGTTTATTCAATCAAATAAATTGCATGCGCATTTTTCCCATTCATTTCCATTCCACACTAAAATTAATGTAGGTCATTTTCATTATTTCAGCGTTCCAATCGACTTTTTTGTAATTGATCTTTACTTTTGTCGACGTTATTTCTTCCAGCCCACGTCAACTTAGATACATTAACTGTTTGTTGTTGTTTAAATGTGCTAAACAACCGCAAGGTGAAGTAATAAATCAATTCGATGATGCTCAACACAGAAATGCTCATGAATAGGCCCAACAATCCACCGAAACTGGCAATGAAGTCAAAAGTAGTGAAAGTTTCCGACCGATTGATTGCCGTGAAATAGGATTGCTTGAATGAGATGAACAATCTGCTGGATGCGAAACTAGGCCGATTTATTGAAATGAGAAAATTATCACGACCAAATCTCGATTAAACCGAAGAAAGGAAAATTCCAAAAATAAATTGGATCAATACCATGAATTACCTGTTGGAAGAATTGTTTTTGATTTCGCTTTTCGCAAAACTGAATGGTATTTGTGACAACTTTGTATCATAGGTAATGGAAGTGCAGTCAGGCAGACACTTACACTTTTCCACAACGAAATTCTTGGAGAAAACCTGTCTGGCATTACAACAGCACTTGAATTTCATTGATGAGCAAATGTTTGTGTTTTTGTCTCCTGAAATCGGCAAAATCAGTGACATGCCCTACATCTCAATACTCAAAGTCTTTTCAAAGCTCACACGCATCTACTTACTTGGCATCCAGATCTGAACGCATCCGCTTTCTAATTCACAGTTGCGTTGACTGTATGATTTAAAGAATCGCAATTCTCGTTCGGCCTTAAAAAGGCAACCGCGGTCTTCCGGCGAATAATCACACAATCCATCCGATGTTGTAATCATATTCGGCTTGATGGAAATGTTAACGGCCTGCTCCATTGGAATTGGAATAAAGTCTCAGGGCACTCGTGCTAATTCGTCGGGCGGATGGAGGGCAAGTTGAAAACCTTGTGCAAATCTATCGCAGTATTTATTCGATTCACCGACAAAACTTTTAACAACAACGTACATTGTATCGCTGTAATCGTAGCCAAACATACGATGTGGATATATTTCACCGCTGTTCGCACTCAAATTGTAGCCATCTTCCATATTCCAATGGATCGCAGTAGGATTCTTCCACACTGTCTTCAATTCAGGTACGACGCTGTCCAAAGTAAAATGAAATAAATATTTGGAATTTTCTATTTTTTTCAGAAAGTTTGTACTTATCGCTGTAAATATCCCTTGAATCAAGCGAATTCGATATGTGACAAACTCCTTCACTCGTAAAATATGGCTCAAACACCGAACTCCAATTGAAAAAGTGTGCTTCTGGCACCTCATTTGGAGACATTTCTTCAATTGTTTTGTAAATGATCTCAGTTCGTGGAATGGAATAATCAAGGTCATAATAATGATACAACCACTGAAAGCATATCACTAGCAAAGTATCCAATTGATTCAATCTAAAAGGTTTTTTTAGGAAAAGAACATTGAAATGCAAGGATTTAGGAAGCGTCAGTGTTTCTATACTATCTGTTTGCTATTAAACGTGGAATTCTTCTGCAAATTGGTCCAAATAAGGATAATCAAGTCGAATGACTTACTCTTTGGCTGTTAAATTCATGAAATTCTCCGGTTCATTTGATTGCATTGCTTTGGTTAATGCGTCTGCCAATCGGTCGATATCGACTTTTCCCTTTGTATATTTCTCCGTCAAGCAAACGGTGACGGCTGGAAACGGGATCATTCCAATAAAATTCGTTTTGTCGTTGAAACTGACAAGCACTGGATGGTCTTGCCATTTCATCCAAATGTTCAGAATTGAATGAGTGCATATTGTGAATGACAAAGTGAATGCAATCACTGAATTGAAATGAACATTTTTATTTCAATAATTACTTTTTATGGTTAGGTTCAATTGTACCTTTCAATCTTCAGTGACGATTCCGTTCGGTGAAATATCGAACTCCATTCACTGTTGAATTCAAACAAAACTCCTTTGCTGTCGCTAAGAACTAGTTAGCTTTTTCTGAAGGAAAATCCTTCAAGCGTATCAAAATCGAAAGGAACGATTTTTTTGATGTTGTTCTAAAAATTGAAAACTCTTCTGAATTCTTTCAACAGAGCGTTTATTCCACACCTCAAAACTGTTTTAACGATTCAATTCTGACGAATACAAAAGACCATTTATTTTCAAACGACCAAACAAACAAAATTTATAGAAGTGGAAAATGAAAATAGACCTAATGAAAAATAATCAATGGAATTTATTGATCACCATATTTAACAATACATTTTCAATTGGTGTGCACTAATTAAATTCATTTGTAGTCAAAGTGATCTTGACTATTCCATTTAAATCAATTTGTGTAAGTAGAAAATTTGAAGAATTCTTTTTGAAATAAATTTTTCATTCAGTGGATTCGCATTTATAGAAATAAACCCAATTTGTATCATTCTATCTATTAAATTAAAATCGTCTCCTTTGAATTTGTTTCTTGTTTTTGATGCAATGCTTGCATCTAGCCCAAGTTTTCTCATTAACTTCAATTCGCTTTCGTCGTCTCAATGTGCAGAACGATCTCAAGGTGGAGTAGTAAATCAATTCGACGATGCTCAGCAGAATACGCCTAGAAGTCCTCCGCAGCTGGCCAGAAAATCAGACATTCGGTAGGTTTCAGTTCGATTCATGGCAATGAAATGTGTTTGCTTGAACGTTATAAACAATGGGCTGACCACATATCTGATTGGATAAATCAGAAATAATGCACGCATAAATCAAGGGAGCGAAAATGAACGAACACAATGTAACTCACTCCGTTTCGTTGTTCACTTTGTCTCTTTGATCATAAGCTGGAGTTTGGGACAGCTCTACATCATACGAAACTGAATTGCAGTCCGGCAAGCAAACACAATTTTCGACGATAAAATTGCTGGAAAATGTTTTAGTGGCCATTTCATAGCAGGAAAATTTAACCGATGTACAAATGCTTGTTTGATTATCTCCTGAAAGCGTTGTTAACCCAACCGATTTCTATGGTTAATCAACTCATTGCAACATTACCCTATATATCCCTTGAATTAAGCGAAAAATCCTTCGGATGTAAAAATTGGCTGGAAAAAATCAATTTCATTCATATAATATGTATAGTATACGGACACGCATTAGGAGCCATTTGTTAATGGTTTCGTAGATAAATTCAGGTCGATTGATTGAAATGTGATTCGCATACTCCCATCGCAACCAATGCAAACATATGAATCTCAATGCGTTGGTTTAATCTAAAATCAATAAAGTTAGTATGAAATTTGGAATGTCAGTTTCTTTTAATTTTACTCTTTTGACGTTAACCTCATAAATTCTTTTCCATTCCAACGTTTTGACTCAACGGCCTTGATCAGTCGGCTCACATTGACTTTCTTTTCAACGGTTTTTTGAGTTGTATAAACAGTTATGGCTGGGAATGGAATCGTGGAAACTGAAGTCGTTCGATCGTTGAAGCTCCCAAGCCGCTCTTACCGTTGCAACCAAGTGTTCCAAACGCTGCAGGTGCACAAGACAACCGACAAAATGAATGCAATCATCCACCAGATTCTGCAAAACAGTCAATTCGGGCGATGAGTTCGTTTCAATAATACCCATTTCATGTAAATTGATTCTAATTTTTGAAATTTAACATGAACATTTTACGATCATCGAAGGTTGTGCGAAAAAGTGAATTGCAAGTAAAAGATTCAAAAGAGATGATGGAGAAATATGTTTGTTTCTATCAATTTCGTTCATAAATTAGTTGCTAGAATTACACTTCGCTTGAGGTACGAACCAGGCATATCCATATCTAACAAATACGGCACACGTTATGTGTTGAGTCCTTCAACGAATGAAGTTCTTCAATGAA